ATTCTCTGGTTTTCTTCTAGTGTATGTCTCGATCTTCTCGTACAGGTGATTTGATTTTTGACCCTGAAGTAGAGAAGACCGCGCGTAGAACGAGGAAGGAAACCAGACAGCTCAGAGAGGAGCAGTCCAGTGCTGCATCTCAGAGACTTGAGCCAGGAGGTGAACCGACGGATTCGTTTGGTGACACTTTGAGTGACTCTGATCAAGAGGAGATTGCCATGGCTAACGCACGAACACTAAGGGAGTTGGCTGCTCCTGATTTAACTCAGCAGCTTTTATGCATTACTTTCCCGAGTTTGAATGATAACACTTCATTTGAATTGAAATCAGGTCTAATTCATCTTTTACCTTCTTTTCATGGTTTACCAGGTGAGGAGCCGTATAAGCATCTGCAGGAGTTTGATGTCGTGTGCAATAGTATGAAGCCCCCGGGAATCACAGAAGAGCAAATAAAAATGAGGATATTCCCCTTCTTCTTGAAAGATTCTGCGAAGGACTGGATGTACTACCTGTCACCAGGTAGCATCACCACGTGGGACCAATTGAAGAAAAAATTTTTGGATAAATATTTTCCTGCGTCTAGGGCTGCAAGTCTAAGGAAAGAAATTTGTGGGATCAAGCAGCATTCAGGGGAGTCACTCTATGAGTATTGGGAATGGTTCAAGAACTTGTTGCACAAGTGTCCCCAACACCAGATAAGTGAGCAGTTGCTCATTCAGTTTTTTTATGAGGGGCTCATTTTTAGAGACAGGAGCATCATTGATGCTGCAAGTTGAGGGGCACTGGTGAACAAAACCCCTCAGGAAGCACGGGAGTTAATAGAGGGGATGACAGAGAATTCACAACAATTCGGTACAAGAGAGGATGTCCCAATACGTAAGGTGAATGAGGTGGAGACACCCTCTATGCAGCAGCAGCTAACTGAGTTGACCGCGCTTGTTAGGCAACTGGCTGTGAGAAATGCATCACAAGTCAGGGTATGCGGGATTTGCACTGGTATGGGTCACTCTACAAACATGTGTCCAATGATTCAAGAAGAAACTGCAAAACAGGTGAACATGGCTGACCACGCGCCCGCGCCAAGAAAGCTGTACGACCCTTACTCAAGCACCTACAACCTCGGGTGGAGAGATCATCCCAACCTTAGTTATGGAGGAAATAGGCAGCCCAACTTTGCACCGAACAGACAGTCTAACTTCGTGCCAAATAAACAACCAGGGTATCAGCAGCAATACCAACCCCGACCACCTCCGCCCCAGAGCTCTGGCCCATCTTTGGAGGAGATGATAAAATAAATGATGGCAACCATGACGCAAAATCAGCAAAGGACGGAGGCAACCATTATGCAAAATCAGCAAAGGACGGACTCCGAAATGCAAGACATAAGGAATCAGATAAGTCAAATGGCCACAACAATTAACCCTTTGGATTTCCAGAACCAAGGTAAATTGCCGTCTCAGCCTGAATTAAATCCGAAGAACGTGAGCGCAATGACCCTAAGGAGCGGGAAGGAAATTCAGGGGCCTGAACTTGTGATCCCTAAGGATAAGGATGAGGAAAAGATTGAAAATGAGCTTGAGAGGGAGGACAGCAATGGTGCAGATCCAAAGGTACTTCCAGACCCAATAATTACAGTTAAAACTAACCCACCTCCATTTCCTAGTAGGTTGGAAAAATCGAAGAAGCAGGATAAGGAGAAGGAGATTTTGGAGGTGTTTCGCAAGGTAGAGATAAATATTCCCCTCTTAGACGCCATCAAACAAGTACCAAAATATGCCAAGTTCCTAAGAAACTTGTGTGTCAACCGAAGGCGATTGAGGGGAGATGAAAGGATCATTGTTGGGGAGAATGTGTCAGCGGTCCTGTAGAGGAAGCTTCCACCCAAGTGCGGAGACCCTGGTATGTTTACTATCCCCTGTAGGATAGGTAATACTGTGATTAGAAGGGCCATGTTGGATTTGGGAGCATCAATTAATGTCATGCCTAAATCTATCTATACTTTTCTGAAATTAGGTCCATTAAAAGAAACTGGAATAATCATTCAATTAGCTGACCGAACTAATGCATATCCTGATGGGTTGGTTGAAGATGTGTTGGTGAAAGTTAATGATTTGGTGTTTTCAGCTGATTTTTATGTACTTGATATGGATGATGATCACTCCTCCGATCCCTCACATTTGTTGTTAGGTAGACCCTTTATGAGTACAGCACAAACAAAAATTGATGTTAATAAGGGTACCTTATCCATGGAGTTTGACGGGGAAATTGTGCATTTTAATATCTTCGATACCATGAAATATCCCTCAAACTCCAACTTTAGCTCAGTTTTCTCTGTGAATACTATCGACCCTGTAGTGCAGGAAGTGTTTGAAACTGTTGGCAGGGATGAGTTGGAGGTGGCTTTAACCAAGCACCTCGAGTTGGAGACAACTCTTGAGGTGGAGTGGAGCGAGAATCTAAAATGCACAGTAGGTGCATTACACTCATTGCCGACCACCACAAAAAGGTATGAAGTCTTGCCTATTTTTATTCCCGAACCTCACCAGAGGGTATTGCCATCTGTGATACAGGCACCTGTTTTGGAATTGAAGCCCCTACCAGAGCACCTGAAGTATGGGTATCTGGGTGACAATGAGACACTTCCGGTGATTATTTCGTCAGCATTGTCAAAAACCCAAGAGGAGAAACTGATCCGGGTCCTTAGAGAGTATAAAGAGGCGATAGGTTGGACAATTGCAGACATTAAGGGGATCAGCCCGGCTGTCTGTATGCACCGGATTAGACTGGAAGAGGATGCTAAACCTGTTCGACAGGCTCAGAGGAGGCTCAACCCCTTCATGATAGAAGTTGTAAAGAAAGAGATTTTAAAATTGCTAGATGTGAGGATCATTTTTGCAATATCAGACAGCCCGTGGGTGAGCCCGGTCCAGGTAGTCCCAAAGAAGGCAGGAGTGACGGTAGAAGCTAACCAAACGGGTGAACTCGTGCCAGTGCGCAAGTCCACTGGATGGAGGCAATGTATAGACTACCGTAGGCTAAACGCCGTCACCAAAAAGGACCATTTCCCTCTCCCTTTCATTGACCAAATGGTTGAACGTTTGTCTTGTAGGGCTTACTATTGCTTTTTGGATGGATTTTCAGGATACTTTCAGATAGCAATTGCCCCAGAAGATTAAGAGAAGACAACCTTCACGTGCCCGTTCGGGACCTCTGCCTATAGACGAATGCCATTTGGGTTGTGCAATGCGCCTGCAACGTTCCAGAGGTGTATGGTAAGTATTTTTTCAGAATATGTGGAGAAAATTATTGAAGTTTTTATGGATGATTTCAGTGTGTATGGTGATAGTTTTGATACATGTCTAGATAACCTGAAATTGATCCTGATAAGGTGTATAGAGACTAATCTTGTGCTTAATTGGGAAAAATGTCATTTTATGGTTGATCACGGGATAGTCTTAGGTCATGTTGTATCGTCTAAGGGCATCGAGGTTGACAAGACTAAAATAGACATTATATCGGCATTACCTTACCCCGCAAATATGATGGAAATGCGTTCTTTTCTTGGACATGCAGATTTTTACCGAAGGTTCATCAAGAATTTTTCAAAAATTGGAGCTCCGTTGTTCCAACTTCTACAAAAGGATGTAGCTTTCAAGCTTGATGACAAGTGTGAGAGAGCCTTCGACAAGTTGAAGGGATTGTTGACCTCACATCCAATCATCCAGCCCCCTGACTGGAATTTACCATTTGAGATCATGTGCGATGCCAGTGACCATGCTGTAGGGGCTGCATTGGGGCAGCGAGTAGGAAAGGCAGCTCACGTCATCTATTATGCATCCCGCGCCCTGAATGGAGCCCGGTTGAATTACTCCACCACTGAGAAGGAGCTTCTTGCAGTTATTTTTGTTTTAGAAAAATTCAGGTCATATTTGTTAGGTGCTAAAGTGATTGTATTTTCTGATCATGCAGCATTGAGATACCTGATGACCAAGAAAGATGCGAAACCGAGGCTCATACGGTGGATATTGCTCCTACAGGAATTTGACATGGAGATAAGGGATAAAAGAGGGTCAGAGAATTTAGTAGCCGACCATTTGAGTCGTATCCCTGTTGGAGAGGATAGTGAACCATTGAAGGATGCATTCCCTGAAGAGCATTTATTTTCTTTAAATTCTCAATTGCCTTGGTATGCTGATCTGGTCAATTATTTGGTAACCGGTAATTTTCTTGCAGGTTGGCCAAAATCGAAGAGGGATAAATTGAAGAGCGACGTCAAATATTTTATCTGGGATGACCCGTACCTGTGGAAGAGGTGTGCGGATCAGGTGATGAGGAGATGTGTAAATGAAATGGAATTTCAATCGATTTTAGCTTTTTGTCATACTTTTGCCTGTGGAGGTCATTTTGGACCCAGGAGAACTGCTCATAAGGTTTTAGAAAATGAATTTTATTGGCCTTCATTGTTTAATGATGCCTATGTGTTTTGTAAGACATGTGATAAATGTCAGAGGATAGGCAATTTATCCCGAAGGGATCAACTGCCACAGGTGCCCATGCTTTTCATTGAAATTTTTGATGTTTGGGGTATAGATTTCATGGGTCCCTTTCCAAATTCTTGTGGATTTTTATACATTTTACTAGCAGTGGATTATGTCTCGAAGTGGGTGGAAGCAAAAGCCACCCGCACTAATGATTCTAAGGTAGTTGCAGATTTCATAAAATCTAACATTTTTGTGCGATTTGGAATGCCACGGGCAGTTGTGAGTGATAGGGGGATGCATTTTTGCAACAAGACAATTGCTACTTTGTTCAGGAGATATGGTGTACTTCATAAAGTTTCCACTTCCTACCATCCACAGACCAATGGCCAGGCTGAAGTCTCGAATAGGGAAATAAAGTCTATTTTGGAAAAGATGGTCCGCCCTGATAGGAAAGACTAGAGTTCAAGGTTGGAAGATGCTTTGTGGGCGTACAGGACCGCTTACAAGACACCTATAGGGATGTCTCCCTATAGGTTGGTATTTGGTAAGCCTTGCCATCTTCCAATGGAATTCGAGCATAGAGCATTTTGGGCGGTAAAACAGTGCAATATGGATATTGAGGAGGGCGGAATCCAAAGAAAGTTACAGTTACAGGAGTTGGAGGAGATTCGCAATGAAGCCTATAAGAATGCGGTAATCTATAAGGAGAGGAATAAGATTTTTCATGACCAACAGATCTCAAGGAAGACATTCGAGTGTGGGCAAAAAGTTCTACTGTACCACTCCAAATTGAAGTTATTTTCCGGTAAATTACGTTCTCATTGGATTGGTCCTTTTGTTGTGACTAATGTCCTTCATTATGGTGCAGTAGAGATCCAAAGTTTGAAAAATGAGAAGAAATTTGTAGTGAATGGCCATCGTCTCAAGCCGTATTATGAAGGGGTTCCAATCGAACGGGTGGAGATGATCCACCTGGAAGACCCTACTTGCTTAGTTTAAGCAAATTTTTTTGCTACGTCTAGCCAGAGACGTTAAAGAAAGGCACTCTTGGGAGGCAACCCAATTTTTAATTTTATTGTTTTAGTGCTTAAGTATTTGATTATGTTGTTTCTCACATGGGTACTAGTCACTCTTGATGTTTTCTAACTCTGATCAGGATAGATAATCTTGGTATGCCCACGCGAGGAGAGTACGCGTTAAGCGTCTAAGTCCAAGTCCCATGGTCAGTGGATGGTTGTAAAACATGACGTGCCCATGCCGTGTTGGTAAATTCTCAACATCTCGTGATGCCGGCAGAAAATAGAATCTTGGCGTGCCCACGCAAGGAGGGCACGCGTTAAAGTGCGTAAGGTAACTCTCGAAGTCAGTGGATGCTCTCTAATCTTGGCGTGCCCACGCCATGTTTGATGATACAAAAAAAAAAAAAATAATAATAATAAATAAAAAAAAAATAATTACGAAAATGAATGAAAAAAATAAGGATACGGAAGAAAATTTTTTTTTTTTTCTTCTTTCCTTCATTTCTTTCTTTCTTTCCCTTTTCTTCTTCTTCCCCGCGTCCTCTGTTTCTCCCTTTCTTCTTTCTTTCGCACACCGCCGCCGCCCCCAGGTCTTCTCCCTTCCTCACGCTCCACCAACGCCACCAAGCAGCTGCGCGCCTCCCTCGCTCATCGTCGTGAGCTCTCGCCCAAGCGCCGCCCGCCGCTGCTGCCTTGGTTTTTTCCACGAAGCGCAGCTGCCCAGCCTCGCGCGCCGCCATCAGCACGCTTTGCCGTCTAGCCCAGAGCTCCACCAGCTCACGGTCGCTCCCACCATTGCGGCAGCTCCAGCTACACCGCCGCCCCCCTTTTTTCCCTCACTCTCCCTCTCAGCCACACGCTGCGCACAGCCGCAGCCTAGCGACAGCCACGCTGCTCACGAGCTCAGCCGCCTGCCCACGGCCGTCCACCCACAGCTTGTTGAGCTCCTCCATTCCAAGCTCCACCCGCCACCTCCACTTGCCAGCGTCTTTGACCACCGAACGCCGCAGGCGTGCGCAGTCCACGCAGCTCGCCGCGCCCCAAGCTCAGCCAGCTCTACAACGGCACACATCTCCTCCATTGCCGGACGCCGCCACCTGTCCAATTTCGACAGGTGGAGGTATTATTATTTCTTCCCCAATTGGTTTAACTCTCTGCAATTTGTGTTTGGATTTCTTGATGGATAAAAGATGGTGTTGAATTAAGCATTTTCTGGGGGAACTTTTTGGACAGATTTGGGTTTAAGTGCTGCCAAAGTGGGGGTAGTTTCTGCTATTTGTTGGTAAATCTAGCCTCATTGCCTTCCCTGGAATTGCTAGTTCTTTGGGTTAATTGCTAATTTTAGTACCCTGTTTTGGGTTCTTGACTGTCCATTTAGAGACAGTGACTCCGGTTATAGATCCACGTGTGTCCAATTGTGGGTGACTTGCTATATTTACTTATTGGGGGCACCCGTGACGCTTATATTTGATTATTGGGGCCGCCCGTGACGCTTATCATTGCTACTTAGTGGAGTATACTGGACTTGCTTGGGGTCATTTTCTAGCTCTTGGATTCCTGTATTGTGCTTTCTATTGTTTTGGCTTGCCTGTTGGTCACCATGGTGAGGCCTCGATCTTCTTCTAAGTCTAAAACACCTAGGAAATCACAGCCTCCAACACCACCACCCACTATTCCCGCCTCTGGGAGGAGAGCTCGCCTTGGGAGACAGAGGGGCGTCCATATTTCGGACCCTGCACATTTTGGGGGAAATCTGCACTTCACTAGGGCCGCCGACAAGCAGCGATATGCTGTTTTTTGTGAGCGGCAGATCACTCCCTGCCGATATCTGGACGCCGCCACCTTGGGCCTTCTAAATATTAGCGTCCCCTTCCACGATTTGATCAATGGCATTGGGTGGCGCCCATATTTCTGTATTGTTGATCTCCCGGTCTTTGTTGAGTTGGTTAGGGAGTTCTATGCTACTTTTGAGTTCACCATTACAACCGGTTATTCTGTGTCTACCCCTGATGTCATTCACTTTCGATTGATGGGTCAGGAGTTCCACCAGTCGATTACTGATATTAATTTAGCTTTTGGCTTTATTGATCCGGCCTATTCCGCCTCTCGGGAGTATGCCGAGAGTGCGTGCGACTACATAGAGCCTTTCTTCTCTCGTTATCGAAATATATGGGAGGCGTTGTCCGCCGACCCTGCCCCTTATGATCCTCGCCAGACTAAGAGCTCTTACATCAAGGACCCGGCTTCTCGCTACATCCAGCGCTTCCTAGCATATAGTTTCTCGGGTAGGCGAGATAGCCGGGTATATTGTCTAAGCCAGAGTTCTTTTTCATATGGTGCATGCATAATAATATTAAAGTTAACTTGGGGTGCTGGCTCGCTTCTCAATTTAAGTCTGTTTTGATAAAGAAGAAGCGCCCCTTGATTCTTGGGTCATATATCACCCATTTGGCTGTTAACTTGCAGTTGCTTGATCTCTCTAACCATGATTTACATGTTGCTTGTCAAATGGAAGCCTTGGACATCCCGTGCTTGGAGCAAATGGGTTTGGTACGGGAGGGTGACAACGGGTGGGAGATTGTTCCCCCGGGACCGATTAGACCTCCTCCTCGTTCATCCTTTGCCAGTGCCTCCACGGCGGGCGGTGACCCCGGTCCTTCTTCTTCCGCTCCCCCCCTTCCGCCCCTACGGCCGAGGAATGGCACCATCTCCGCAGCACAGTCGAGCGGCTTGAGACACGGCAGAAACACATGGACGTTAACATTCATAATATGGCGCAGAATCTAGCGGCTTTTATGCAGCAAACTGGGTTCCCTCCTCAGTTTCCACCTAACCCTCCCATGTTTTGACGTCTCTGGGGAAGTACCGTTGCCATTCTCTTTACTTTTGTTGCTGGTTTATCACATTGAGGGCAATGTGTCATTTATGTGTGGGGGGGTCTCGGTTTGGGTGCTAGATATTTCCAGTTCTCATCTCTTTATTATTTTTCCTCTTGTTTTCTGTTTAGGTGCCGTCCCTTTATCCCTTTTGGGTGTTTTTCCCTTGCTTCTATCTTGGTGAACATTTTTGGCAGCTCGTTTTTTTTTATTGTTAGTTGTGGTTTATACTATGAGTTGAGTTTCGGTGGCAAATAAGAGCATGCTGTCTTGGTGAATATTTTGAGTTTAAGACTTGGTGCAATTTATGGCTGACTTGTTTAGGCGATGTGAATATTTTTGCTGGCATTGTTGTGTAGATTGGTCTCCTGTTTACCTTAGTTCTCCATATTTAGGACATGACGCAGGCTATGATCTGTAATTACTTGGTATTTTGGTGCTTATTGGTGAATAACATATGGCTATACTCCGCTAGTGTCGCCACCTAGTAACCGGGAGCCTTCACCACAAGTGTCGGCTCTCGCGTCAAAAAGTGGCGATATCTATGAGTAAGTGGTCCTGGCGCTGTGAAAAGTTGAGTAACTGGACTTTTTCATCTAAAAATATCAGAGTTCGCGTCAAAAGACTTGAATAGCTTGGGACTAAGCATTATTCGTACAATTTTAAAAAAAGGGGGGGGGAAAGAAGAAGATGAAAAAAAAATCAGATGTGGAAAATATGTAAGTTTATGATCATATTGGCCTGCTGATCCTTGGTTCGTAATATTGAGATTTTGGTTGCCAGTTGACTTAATTACTGACTGTTGCTAGTTAATATTTGGATTTCCTAAGCGAATTAGCCATGAATTAGACAGGTCTATGAACTTAGGAACTAACCGGGAGAGATATGGCTTGACACTTAGTCATTAAATCTTGATTTTGATATAAGCACAACTGGCAATGATAATGTGGAAGCTAGCCATTGTTGAGTTGAATTGTCCCCATGCTTGAGGGCAAGCATGATTCAGGTGTGGGGGGAATTGATAGGGTATAATTTGTTAGTAATTTTATTATTAATTTCCCCTTCTACCCCTGACATTTATTGTGTTAATTGCTGATATTTACTCATATTTGGTATTTGGAATCAATTTCAGGAGTGAAACAGAAAATTACCAAATGGAGGGACTTTCTAGAGCATATTACTAAGAGTCAATTCGGCAGGGCCCAGCCTTGGTGATTCATCTTCTCAACTTCGGTGGGGGCCCATGGAATAAGGAGCACTAGTCATTTGGCCAAAAGGAGGAAACGTACAGAGGCTATGACTAAGAAGAAATTCGGCAGACTTGTGCCAATTGGTGGGACCGCAGACTAGGTAGCTTGAGTCAACTTCCTTTTGTTTCTCTATAAGTAGAGAACTGACAGAATCAGTCAGCTAGCAAGTTTTTACCTTTTAGTTTAGTTTTTAGCCTAGACTTTGGTTTTCTTGCTTTCTTTTCCTTGGACTGGCCTCTGACGCACGTCAGGTGTTCTACAATATTCCCCAACGGGAAAAACATCATTTATTCCTTACTTTCTAGTAAAAAACAATGCCTTCGCAGTTTATTAACTCGTGTGGTGATTTAATTATGCGGCGTGGCTAAGTCTTCCATCTAGTCAAGGGTCAACTCGACGGCGCAGTCCCGAAAATCTGTGAGATCTAATTAGATTTCACGCGCTCCTTAATTTATTAATATTTGCACTTTGCCTGTGTGACGCCCCACATCTCCCTAAGGCGGACCAAAGGGTATCCGCGGACGCCTGCCTAGCTCTCGCCAGGACTCAAGCAATTACATTCAATTTAAATCCGAACTAAACAGTTCGAAGAGAGCAACATGAATACAAATAATGCGGAAGCGTTCAAACTTAACAAGTCACTTAACATGTAACCAGTACATCGGGTAATCATAATACAACTTTAAATCCTAAATACACGTCAGGGCCCAAACTTTTCAAATTTACAATTTCCAAAAGTACAACCCAAACCAGGGCCTAGTCAAAATATAGCAGGAATCTTAACAAAAGTACAACGAAGGGTTTTTCCATACTTCTCCAAGATTCGGTCCTGTTAAGGAAAACAAAACTATAGG